AAAAAAAAAGTGTTACCTTGCCAAAGCACTGACAGAGCCCACTGATCTAATGGCGTTGTTGAGCGCTCCAAATGCAAACTTTGCATGCAACAATCAGGCAGCAATTGACAGCACTCTGATCTAGTGGCATACAGGCATCGTCAGATTGACAGTACTCTAGCCCAATAATGTTGGGGGATCCAGTGGGGGCGGCAGTCATATTTCAGGGTGACCGTGCCACACTTTATCACAACCCTGCTAAAAGTGCCAGTACGTGCGCTCATTGGCACCCCTTCAGCTGATGGCGCCCTAGGCGACCGCCTAGCTCGCCTATGCCTAGAAACGGCCCTGCATCACAATCATCACAAAGTAATCGACACAACTCCAGTTCATCCATTAATATCTTGTGAAGTGAAAAGCTGCATGTCTGTAATAAACAAGTTCATCAAGATGTTTTTAACTACAAACCATTGCTTCTGGCTACAAGTCCTTTATCCATTAAATTGCTTTCTCCAGTGAAAAAGTAGTCTTCTCAGAATCAGGAGAGAAATATACACATATCAAGGATGTTTAAAAACAAAAAACAGTCCAACACGTTCTAAACACAAGACGTGTTCACAGGATGTTAACTGATCAACTGGAGTAATGTGGATTATTGTGATGTTTTTATCAGCTCTCTCTCTCTCTCTCTGAACTTCATTTTGATGATCCATTGGTGAGCAAGTGATGTAATACTACATTTCTCCAAATGTGTTCCAATAAAGAAACAAACCCATCTACATCACGGATGGCCTAAGTGTGAGTACATTTTTTGCACATTTTCATTTTGGGGTGAATAATTACTTTAATCTAACCTGTGCTAGCACACACACAGACATACAAAAAAAAAAGTCAAGTTATTTAAAAATAAGACTATGTACTGTAAGAAATCCATGATCAGCCAAATTACTAGTTAAAGTAAAGTTCTATAGCATTTTCTTTCCCTGCAGGGCAAACATAAAAATAAAATGCACTATTACACGAATGTATCTACATTTCCGTACCATTTAATTTTTTTCCCCCACACTGCTTGAGGAGGCCGTCTAGAAAATCAGGTCAGACCCAGCTGATGAAGAAATTATGTGATTTAATGGCCCCTGAGGGTCAACACAAATATAGCACTGCATTAACTCTGGCCCCTCCTAGGACAGAGCAGCAAGGACATCACCCATAAACATCGAGAGAGAGACACGACACAGACGAAGCACTGCCTACAATGAATAAAGCGGATGGTGAAATGATAACAAACAAAATTACATTATGCCATTCATTTCAATTCACATATTCACTTTCTTTATGCATGCTATCATAACTGTTCATTTCATTATCTGATTAAGTGCAGCTCTGGAAATATTCTGTATTACAAATCCTATTAATGAAAGAATGTAGGCCTACTTTCATTTCCATGACTACTTTTATTCTTTTGATTCTTTATTCTGTCAGTGCCTTACTTACTTCTTTGATTTGACCACTAAGTGGAGGAGGAACTCTTTTACAGCAGGTGTGCTCACCTTTCCAGGGTATTTTATCTCATTTTACCATCACCACTAAGAAATACAAAGAATGCGCTACACAATTTTGGAAGAAAACACAACATGAGTCACAATACGGTTACACAGAACAGAAAACATTCTCATTCAAGATCAAAAGAAATGAGAACGCCATGCCTTCATTTGATATGAACCTTTTTAGGAAGAGGCTTTGTACGCAAAACATTTAAATGAAGCAATGCTGGATTAACTCTCCCACTGTATTCCATTAAGAATAGATTTTTTCCATCTTTTATTCTAGGTGCAGATGTATGCTGCATTGTGAACTTTATTTGCATAGTAATTTGCAAAATAAGAATCTACTTCAAACACAAACACACCCAGACATGTAGTCTTGTAAAATGAGGTCAGAAGAGCTCTAAACAGCAAGGTTTCCTGAAGCATAAAAGTGATAATCTTCTTCTTTTAGCTTTGCTTAACCTGTCACCTTACTTAAGAAATACTGCCGGGAAGGGTTTGGTTAGCAGGCAGACATGTGGCTCAGCGGGTATTCTTGTTAAACCATCGCAAAGATTCTATCAAACTGCATCTGGAGAAATACAGAACTTTGTATTTTAAGTTACCTACGGTGCAGTCCAAAAGTATTAGACCACATTGTAAATCTAAATAAGTATATCTAATGTAAATGTGGAAATAAGAAGCATGTACTGTATTAGGATTTGGGGAAAAATTGTGAAATATTGTGAATGAAGAAATATTAGAGATTTCAAAATCACTAATCATAATAAGCAAATTTTTTGACACTGCCCATTTACACATTATTGCATTTACATTTAAATGTCTTACAATGTGCAAGACATTTACACATTATTGCATATGCTTGTTGAATAGTTTTCAGTTCAATTCACCAGGGTTTTCATGAAGCTGTTATTAAAGCCGATAAAAAATGGGAAATACCAAATAAGGAAATTCTGAAAATGCTGTTCGTTTTTTCATTCAACCTTTGACTCAAATTGTTAGGAAAATGATATAGTGAATATGATCTGTGATGAACCAAGGTAGGCTACTATGCTACAAAGCATCTCTGAAAGACTTATGCAGGCCTACATTAAGCACAAGTTAAAGTTTCTCTCAAAATAGGACACTGAGGCAGTGGTACAGTGATGGTATCAGATAGAAATACATTGGTACTTTAAAATATATGGAATGTTTTTCAATATACTATGGTACTGCATGATTATTACTCTTATTTACCGCAATATTTACATGGTACTCTAAAGGTACATCTTTTTACGATTACATGGTGTTTCGATACAAGCGGGGAAGTGTCCTTACCTGCAATACTGAGTCATCACAAGTTGCACGTGCAGGTGTACTCTCATATCTTTATGCTTGTCGGTAAACTGTGTCGTAAAGCAGACAATTAAAGCATTACGTAAAACAGTAAGCAAGTGAGCAACTGCTCCCAAGTCCGAACGATACAGTAGCCTACTTAAGTGAGCTGATTCAAACGAATTAATACTCACATGCTAAATTTTGAAACGACTCAGACAGTTTTGCTAACCACGGGTGCGTTTCCCAAAAGCATCATTAGCAAATGTTTGCGAGTTCCATTGAACTCCATTGGCAACAACAGAACTTGCGACCATAGTTGGCTCTAGGAAATGCAGAAACACTGCAAACAGCTGACGCAAAAGAATGATTCGTTCTCGAATCGGGCATCGGTACTTCTGATTCAACCAGCGGGAAATGACACACGTCTTGAAAGAGTTTGAGGGCAAATGTTTCCCATGTTGGTATAAGTTTGTCAGGCCCATAGCCAACCTAGTGGAAGGGGGGTTCTTTTCTTTTTCAAAAAGTAGACCTTTTTCATTTTTACACCCATTTTATATTTAATCATGAAGTTCAAATAGGCCTACTTCATTTCGGTGACTTTTCATGTACTAATTTGTGCTGGATTAGCATGTCTGCTGGTATCTTAATGGCCACGATTTTTGATGCACCAAAAATATTTCGTACACTGTTGTCAAATTGTTTAGCAAGATCACTTACTACCTTCTTCAGTAAATATACACAAATAACTAGTAAAGCAATAAGTTAAGTTAACTTAAATTAAGAGCAGTGAGTGGTTCTCTATTTTTCTTTTGTTTGAATAACGTTATTAATGCAATAAATGCACAGATCCATTATATTGATACACATCCAGTATTGTTTGTTTATGATCAGGGGCTTTTATAGGATTTGAAAACATCTGGGGCTGCGGCCAAAACAACAGGGGCTAATGGTGGTGGGTTCACATCATGCTCACGTAAGATTTAGTGAGCCAATGGTGGGTGGACCTGTCCTGTATCCCTCTAGGGGGGTCCGGGGACATAAACGTCTGAATTACTGCTGTTTCCCCGGTAAAGGCTGTACACAAAGAGGCGCTGCGTTCATAAATGCTAGCCTACTTTAAATGAAGATGGCATCGAAACTTTTCTGAAGTCAGTCAGTTCCCTTGAAAGATACATTCATATAAAAACACCTGCACGTTTCAAAGTGTTTTGACTTTGAAATGTGCAGCGCTCATATTTATTAAATGAAATCAGAGCCTTAATAGTCACATTTGTCCATAACGCGATTCTTGTCTTTCCATCCCCAAATTTAAGACCTCTTGAAATTATAATTAAGACTTTTATTACACCAATTAAGGTATTTAATAACTTTTTATGGCTTTAAATTCCGTTGTTATTTAAAAGAACATTTGTTTGTTTAAAAAAATAATAATAATAAAATAAAATAGGCTACTTCCCTACTAACGTTAGTTTTTGGTTCCCAGAACGTTCTGAGAACGTTCGTTTTTGGTTCCCAGAATGTTCATTTTTAAGGTTAGTTTTTGGTTAGCCAGGAAAGTTTTCTTTACGGAAATAGAACGTTAGTTTCTGGTTTGTAGAACATTATTCTAACGTTAATCTAACGTTCCCCTAACATTCGTATAGCGTTCCCAGAACGTTAGTTTTTGGTTTGTAGAACATTATTCTAACGTTAATCTAACGTTCCCCTAACATTAGTATGGCGTTCCCAGAACGTTAGTTTTTGGTTTGTAGAACATTATTCTAATGTTAATCTAACGTTCCCCTAACATTAGTATGGCGTTCCCAGAACGTTAGTTTTTGGTTTGTAGAACATTATTCTAATGTTAATCTAACGTTCCCCTAACATTAGTATATTACACCAATTAAGGTATTTAATAACTTTTTATGGCTTTAAATTCCGTTGTTATTTAAAAGAACATTTGTTTGTTTAAAAAAATAATAATAATAAAATAAAATAGGCTACTTCCCTACTAACGTTAGTTTTTGGTTCCCAGAACGTTCTGAGAACGTTCGTTTTTGGTTCCCAGAATGTTCATTTTTAAGGTTAGTTTTTGGTTAGCCAGGAAAGTTTTCTTTACGGAAATAGAACGTTAGTTTCTGGTTTGTAGAACATTATTCTAACGTTAGAGTAACGTTAGTCTAACGTTAAAATAACGTTATTTTACACTCTTAAAAAATGCTGGGTTGTTTCAACCCAACTTTGGGTCAAATATGGACTAACCCAACGTTTTGCGTTAAAAATGTAATTAAAAAATTGAACCCAACAGCTGGGTTAGTCCATAATTTTTGGACGTTAGTAACAGAGTACGTTTTTGGTTAGCCAGGAAAGTTTTCTTTACGGAAATAGAACGTTAGTTTCTGGTTTGTAGAACATTATTCTAACGTTAGAGTAACGTTAGTCTAACGTTAAAATAACGTTATTTTACACTCTTAAAAAATGCTGGGTTGTTTCAACCCAACTTTGGGTCAAATATGGACTAACCCAACGTTTTGCGTTAAAAATGTAATTAAAAAATTGAACCCAACAGCTGGGTTAGTCCATAATTTTTGGTTCCCAGAACGTTAGTTTGTTAAGGTTTGTTTTTGGTTAGACAGGAAAGTTTTCTTAACAGAAATAGAACGTTAGTTTTTGGTTTGTTACATTTGTTTTAAAAATAAAATAAAATAAAATAGGCTACTTAAATTCTGGACCTTTGGCAGTGTGGGGTGGGTCGTCCGATTTAAAAGAGTGATTCATTCTCGAATTGGGCATTGTGATTAGTGTTTGTAAACAACCAAGTGAAAACAGGGACATGATTGGGACATGACTTTTAACTGAAATATCGTCGAGGAAAATGTTTCAGGTTGGTATATGGTAATTTCTTATCTAAAAAACGGATTTATCAGTGTAACGGGGCAAGACGCACAAAGAAGTTTGTTAGACATATTGAAATTAGCTTGGTAAAGAGGCGTTCACCTACCTACTGCAGCTAAAGTAGCCTAATAAAAGTAAAAAAAAATACCACATTTAAAAAAAGGATGTTAAATGCCCAATGAAATAATATCAAAAGTAATAAAACAACAAGGGCTCTCTGCAATAATAATTTTAAGCCTAAAACTGATAAGTCATTAGAGGTCTATGAGGGCGCATAGAAACACCTGTCATGCAAATACGAGATAAATAATGAGTGCTAATATTAATAAAGCTAATGATGCTTGACAGATCTAGGCTAGCACATCTCCCTTAGCACGAAGTCTCTGGCAGAGGATTGGGAAGCTCATTGGATGTGAAGAAATGAGGGATAGTGGTGGACAGAGGGGACGGTTCAGGGTTTAGTGAGGAGAGAAAGAGAGGGAGAGCAAGACAGAGTGGAGCTGCAGGCTGCTGCCAGCTACCAGTGCCACACGTTGCCATTCTAATTCTCTCTTCATTTCCATCTAGATAGATCTGTTCCTCCCATTCACTCACTCACTCGCTCACTCAGGTGTTTTTTTTTTCTTGTTCTTTTTTTTTTTGTCCATCCAACAACAGCACAGACCCATTGAACGGGCAAGGAAGGAAAGTCTGGCTTCATGCTTTCTTCATTTGTGTAATCACAATGACTTCTTGTTCTGTGGTGAAGACTTCAGAAGATATTCAGAAGGCAGCAAAAGATTCAAAGATAGCTCATCTTGGATACCAGGAAGAAACGCATGTTAGGGAAGACAAAAGTACTTAGCTAAAATACAGGTTAACTTTCACTTATTGAGAAATAAAATGAGACCACATGAGCTCCTCAGTGCTGTCATTGTTAATAATAAAAGCTAATGCTAATAAAAAATAATGCTAATTACTAACTATTGTATCTGAACAAAACTATTGTCCTAATATTAAACATATAAAGATTCATGGAAAATAAAGTGTTTTTATTTATATTTTCTCATAATAGTTTGGCTAATATCACGGTTACATTGATCTAACGACACCATTTCATAGACCTCTTAAGAGCTATGACTATCATATTTTATAGACGTTAACTTATGTGTCATGAACAGTACATAAGTCTTTTAGAGATGCTTTGTAGGAAACTTTATGCAACACAAAAAACATATAGGCTACTGAACTGTGACTTCATTTTTAATGATGATTTGTGATTTCAAATTGCAGAATTTTCTTTTCTTTCAAAATGATCCCTGTTAAAAGTTATAGGAACTATGAATCCATTTGTTTACAATGGAAACATGAATTGATAAGCAGCACACACAAAAAAATCAATGTAGATGTATAAATTATGTAACTGAGAGATGTAATACACAAGGAAAAATGACACCACAAATATAAGACAATGTTACAGTTAATTTAATGAAAACACCATGTTTAATGCATTGCAACAATTACAACAACTTTGATAACATACTAAACATTCAACATTTGCAGTGCCTCTTTCTGAGGGGCCTCACAGATCAAGGACCCTGTCAGACAGACTGGGGCCTGGTTCATAATCCATCCCTTGTTACTTGTTCTTAAAGGGGTCAAAGGATGCCCATTTTCCACAAGTTGATATGATTCTTTAGGGTCTTAATGAAAAGTCTGTAACATAGTTTGGTTAAAATTTCTCAATGGTAGTGTAAAAAAACACCTTTTTTACCCTGTCAAAAACAGCTCTTTTCAGAGCATAAAGATTTGTAGCATTTTCCTTTAAATGTTAATGAGCTCTGCTGACCCCGCCCCTCTCTTCTGAGCCGCTCTCAGAGAGACTGTTTACTTTAACTGCATTCATCGTGAAACTTGCTAATTAGCACATTATTAGGAAAGGCGATTTGCAAAGATTAGTTAAAAAAACCTTACACTCACTTCTTCTGTAGGTGAAGCTGTGAAGCACGAATGATTCGCGTGAACATAGATGCATTTATGTAGATCAGGGGCGCATTCCCTTCGTTTAGGAGTCATTCTTGTCTACATCTGCTCCAGCGGTGAAACAATGGCGGACTGATGACAGCTCACTCAGGGCGGGTCTAAGGTAAGACGCCAGTCCAGTTTGTGCTGAAATGCTACTGTCAATCAAACTATCGTGGGAGGGACCTGTCTGTGTGTTTCATCACACAGACAGGCATCTGAGATCGACTCGATTTGAGAAAGGGGTAAAGATTTTAGTAGATTAACAAAAAAACCACTGGGTGGATTTTTATCATTTTAGGGTGGTTGTGTACACACACTGCCAACACACATTTCAGTTCAAACAACTTGTAAAAGTGCATGTAGCATTATATGACCCCTTTAAAACAAATGACAGAGTTAAATTATGGTTAATATAAACTAGGGATGCACCGAAATGAAAATTCTGGGCCGAAACCAAAAATTCTGGATGCACTAGGCCAAAAACCAAAACCGAAAATGCTTTGTAATGATTATTTATTGTTTTATTAAATAATATAAAGTCATTTTGTAAGACCTTTTAATTTAACTCAATTTTAATGATACTGAATTTAAAAAACACAAGCCAATAAAACCACACTTAATAATAACCACACTTTTACCGAAAGTAACAATAAAATTGGACAGAATTTATATTAATATTAGTAACACTTTACAATAAGGTTCATTAGTTAACTACTTTAGTTAACATGAACTAAGAATGAACAATACTTCTTCAGCCCTTTATTAATGTTAATTTCAGCATTTACTAATGCATTATTAAAATCAACAGGTGTGCTTGTTAACAGTTAATGCACTCTGAATTAACAAGAAGTAACAGTGAACAACTGTATTCTCATTAACTAACATTAAGAAAGATTATTAAATACTGCAATAAATGTATTGTTCATTGTTTGTTCATGTTAGTTACTACATTAATTAACATTAACTCATGGAACCTTATTGTAAAGTGTTACCTTAATATTAAATATCAGTATGTCATGGGCAGGGTGTTCAAGAGATCAGGCAGGACGACGAAGATGACAAAATAAAGGATATTTAATGATTTGCAAGCAGGAGAGCCAGACAGGGTAGACATCAACACACAGGGTAACATTCACAATAACCGACAAACTAGAATACAAGAGACAGGAACTTATATAGGGCAGATAACGAGGGGCAGACAGGTGAGCACAATGAGGTGATTAACTAATAATGAGAACAGGAACAACCAAATAAGGACACAGAGGGAGAAACCACAAGCGAGTCCACAGGGGTGTGACAAATATATTATTTTTATTCAGTTCCACGCAACAGAATCAGATATAACTGTTTTTAAACTAATTATCAAAATAATGTATAATCCTACAAAGCTATTATTATCAGAGCATGTGAGCAGAGCATAGCGTCATGAGAGGGTAGCGTCATTTTAACAGCGTTGCCATGTTACAGCACAGTAGCGCTATTGCAAACGGGAACAAGTAACCTACATACATAGAAGTTTCCTGTCGGCGCGTTATTTGAGCGGACTTTGCTTTTCCGGCGAGCGGGAAAACCGACCGACGAGTGCGGGCAACACACGACGACAGGGGGCGACGAGGAGTAGGCCTAATTGCCTTCTAAAACTCAGGAAACAGCGACAGCGGTGAGAAGTAGCAAACTTTGCCTCTCCCGTAGAGTGGATGAATGAATTAATGCATTTCTTGATGTATAAACTTATTAGGTTGTGGGTTCATTTGGAAGACACGCTACAAAAGAATCATGTAAAACCCTGTAAATCTTGAGATTATTTTGTGTAGTTACTGAAATACTGTCAAACAAAATACTGTCTATATGGATATATGTATGAAACTAATAAAACTAAATTGAACAACAGTAAAAAAATAAAAATAAAAATCTTATTAGTCATTTCATTTTATTGACCATTTCATTAGTCGAGTATGAATCAGCCTGAACACTGCAGGGCGGTGTGGTGTGGCATATTATTTTCGGCCGAAAACCGAAAATGCCATTTTCGGCGGCCTATAATTTAATTCGGTACATCCCTAATATAAACTAAGTAAAGTAAGTCATTTTTTTCATGCTGTTTGCTAATTGGTATCAACTGTATCATAGGCAGATTGCATCGTATGCATTTTTCAACAGTTTCTCTTTTACCACTGACAACTCGGTTTTAGTAGCTGCAGGAATTATACTTTTAGTTTTGCTTGTCATTTAAGCTAATATAAAACCCATTCAGAAGCAGATTCAGAACGACTGTCGCCAACTTTGAAACTACCAAACGCGTCTTCACTGCACAAGCCTGGAAACTCTTCCATTTTCATCAACGAAGCTGTCAAAGGCAGCGCCCAGTCGCGTCGCGTCGAGTCCCTGATGTCCGTGAATACTTCCTGGTCCAAAGGTGTGTGTACACAAATCAAAGTCAATTGAGAATGAAGTCGGATGGTGAAGTCACATCAGGGAAATGCACTTCAACGGACACACACACACTTCTCTAAACTGAGGGACAGAAAAGAGAAGTTTAATAGCCTATATAATTCATCCTTCAGTGTTGACGCGTCGCAAACATGATACGAACAGATGAACATCATTCGTGCAATGGAACCCTGAAGTGTCATTCTGACCAGAAACAACAGGAAAGCAACAGTTTGAAAAATGGATATCACAGAAAAGAAACGGTAAGTCAAAGTGCATCACTTCTGCTAAATGCGTCAAGTTAAACGTGTTATTCTAAAAAGAAAAGTTCAAATACAAGGAGTGATTTTTAAGGCGGACTTGAAGTACTACGTAGTTTTTACAGACGTTGTAACTTTTACAACAGGTTTGACTTAGTATAGCGTTGAGGTCCGATTCATTTCAGCGAATCGGTTCGTTCAGATGGTTCATTTAATGAATCCCTTCGAAATACGAGTCACCAGTTAGTCATCACTGAAATATGCTTTAAGTCCAAGTGCTATTTTCGTAATGAAATAAATGTTTACTCTTATGAAAATAGTTGCATTAGTAACCATAGTTTAACTGTAAAATTTGTATTCCTAGCCACAGGCAAAACACTGGTGGGTTAGCTTTTCTTAATTTAACTATGGTTTCTATAAAACAAACTATAGTATTTGTCATTTAAAGTGTCGTATTGGCTGTGAAAGATATGGCTTAAGCAAACGCAGAAATTACAATTATTATTCAATTCTGTAAATTGAGGTGTTTAGTTTATGCCGTAGACCTATATGTTTGAATGTCTTTTGCCTATTAAATTGCATTGCAGTTAAAACATTATTAATTTTAATGTTTTGTCAATGGTATTTTAGGTGCAGAAAAATGATAAGGGAGACTGTTTTCATCAACCTCGAGTTAGGGGTGAAGATTCATTTGAGGAGGCCCCCATGTATGTGGCTGTCCTGACATACATGAATTATGGAATTGTCATCCTTTTTGGCTATTTCAGGGATTTCTTAAGAGCTGTTGGCTTAGAGAAGTGCCATCAGGCCCAGGAGAGAGAAGAGCAAAAGGTAGGGTTGCTCTCCATCTAATATATTTCTCAAAATGTTATAACCATCATGTGTAGAAAAGTTAGTTTAGTTTATGCCGTAGACCTATATGTTTGAATGTCTTTTGTCTATTAAATTGCATTGCAGTTAAAACATTAATTTTAATGTTTTGTCAATGGTATTTTAGGTGCAGAAAAATGATAAGGGAGACTGTTTTCATCAACCTCGAGTTAGGGGTGAAGATTCATTTGAGGAGGCCCCCATGTATGTGGCTGTCCTGACATACATGAATTATGGAATTGTCATCCTTTTTGGCTATTTCAGGGATTTCTTAAGAGCTGTTGGCTTAGAGAAGTGCCATCAGGCCCAGGAGAGAGAAGAGCAAAAGGTAGGGTTGCTCTCCATCTAATATATTTCTCAAAATGTTATAACCATCATGTGTAGAAAAGTTAGTTTGTTCCAGTTTGTCCTGTTCAGTACACACTGGGGGAAAAACATATTTTTTATAATTATTTTTAGCTTTACCTCATGTAAACCTTCCACTTGATTGGTGGAACTTTTATTTTTGGATTAGAATAACAACTTTCTGTGTGTCTAAATAGCATTTAGAAATAATAACTGTAAAAAGATGAGTATTTGTCAAGACAAATTTACTGTCAAACACAAAAGTGTTTTCTTTCATGTCATATAATTTACACACTGTTAACTACGGAAAATCTCCATGATATGTGTGAGGTGATGCCGGGGAGGTTAAAGACGCAATTAAACCCCAAAGGAGTGTGGGTTCATTATTTCTGCTCTCAGTCTGTCCGCTGAGAATGCCGCCTTCAAAAAGATGCCTCTTTCATGCACATTTCTAACTCGAAGCTGGTGGCATTACATCAGATGCGATTATTCAAAGGCATAAATTTAGTTTTTTGAAGTTTAGCTGGCAAGATAATGAAACGGTAAGCTTTCAGATGGAGTCACACCTTTAGCAAATTTAAATGCTAAAATTGTGTTATACTGATGATATGAGTAACACATTGTGGATTTTCTGCACTGTGCTTGCCATGTTTTCCATGATCAGTGTGAATCACTTCAGCCAAATTGGCAGTGTCTAAATATTCTAACCTAGCTTTAATCTGTAAAGTGCATTAAACACAAATCAGTAAGAAGGGAGTGCACTGGAAAAGAACAGTTTTTACTTCAGCTCTGCACATTTTACAGAGTGCGCTTGATATGTAGGCCTATACACTCTATTAGCATTTAAGAGCAAAATTTACATGTGGCCTCAAATGATCTCGCAGCATTTCTGTTCTCCTTTTCCTGTTTAATGGGTTTATTTGCTGTAATATATAATGATATATACTGTGCGCTGTGTTATTTGTAAACATTGCTGTTTGAGTTACACACCAGCAAAGCTTTAAACTGTGCACTTTGTGTAGGCTATTCTTTGTTAAATGAGAAAAAAATAAAAAATAAATGCTATGCAGTTTTTTTTTTTAAGCTTTCTTTGAATGCATCATCTGAAACGTTGGGCAAAGATCAGACACCTCCTCATTGACCAGAAAAACTTATGAGTTGCTGTTTGAGTTACACACCAGCAAAGCTTTAAACTGTGCACTTTATGCAGGCTATTCTTTGTTAAATGAGAAAAAAATAAAAAATAAATGCTATGCAGTTTTTTTTTTAAGCTTTCTTTGAATGCATCATCTGAAACGTTGGGCAAAGATCAGACACCTCCTCATTGACCAGAAAAACTTATGAGTGGCAGTCAAAAGCTTATGCAAAACTTGTAAAAGTCAGGCGGCAATTTGTTGCTCCTTTGTTATTTTCTACTGTCTTAGCTGTCTCTATAACTAAGATTCTGAGCAGTTCAAAGTAAGTTTAATAAAGGCAGCACAATGAGGAGTCTGATTAGCTTCTCCCTTGTTGTTTGGCAGAGTTTACTTAAGGACAAGATGTGGGTGAGTCTCTCAGGATTCTGATACTCACAGAGCAGATGGTTTTGAAACATTCACCCGATTGTAACTACCCACATACAAACAGTGTCTTTTTATGGCTGATCTTGTGTCAGCTGTGCCTCTTATTTTTGAATGAATAGGGCATATTGTGGTGAGGAAAGCACAAAATACTAATGTTAGGTTATATTAAAAGTGCTTATGGTCATTATGTTGTAACCAATTTCTTGTATTACAGGACTTTGTTCCACTGTACCAAGATTTTGAAAACTTTTACAAACGGAACCTGTACACGAGAGTCAGGGATAACTGGAACCGGCCTATATGCAGTTTACCTGGTCCGGTTTTTGACATCATGGAAAGGGTCTCAGATGATTACAACTGGACTTTCAGGTATATGCTTTGCATTCAAACAAACAGTTATGACCCTGTTGTAAAGACCAGGACATGTTGTTTAGGTGCCGATTTCGGCAGGATGTCTGTGTCATTGCAAGACTTCTTACCTAGCTTAACTAGCAAGTTGATGAGCCAACTTTTTGGACCAGCATCATGGGAGAAATATATTAAAATATAATATTATTATAACTACAGTTGAAAAGTTTGGGGAAAAAATGAATCATGATTTCCTCAAAAATACAAAGCAGCACAACGGTTGTCAATATTGATGATAATACGAAATGTTGACACTTTAGACTGGAGTAATGTCTGCTGAAAATTCAAGCTTTGCCATCAAAGTAATAAATTGCTTTTTAAAATATATTAAAATAGAAAACAGTTATTTTAAATTGTAAAATTTTTTTGATCAGATAAATGCAGCCTTGGTGAGCATACTTATTACAAAAACCTCAAACCTTTGAATGGTAATGTAAATTAAATAATAATAAAATATTTAATTAGGGGATAAATATATTAATATTTGATAAACTAATATGATGTGCCAGTTATATGATTATGACTCAATTTTTCCCATTTTGTAATTTCATAATTTTTTTCTTTCAACAGCCGCACCTACAGTACTCCCACTAACTGCTGCTTTGCAATACATGCAGTTCTCCTATATTACACCCATTGATTTCAGTTGCAACCTGGAACAAGAAAGATCTATGTACGTGCTATAGTCAAAAAAAAATCGAAAACTCGGTTGATGCCGTGTTACTTCTTTGACAGGTTAACAGGGAGAACCGTTGAGAACGTCATAAACATGGGCTCCTACAACTACCTGGGTTTCGCTGAAAACAATGTTGACTTGCTGAAAACTGTAGCAGAGGAGACCAGACAGTATGGGGTGGGTGTCTGCAGCACAAGACAGGAACTAGGTATGTGTGTGGTTACACCACAAACGAAACACCTACAATCACAGAAACAGGTCACCCATAGCATCCAACACTGTTTGCATAAGAACAAGCATAGTAGGTTATTGAGCAACTATTTTGGTTTAGTTAATGCCATCATTAACCTGTCAAAAGCTTTTTTTTCCACTTGTGATCAGACCTGCTTTGTGCAGCATTCATAGAATTCGCAATACCTAAAATAGATTTTTTTTCTGGGTAATTCATTAAAGGCCCAACCTGTTTTTGAATTTGCAGCATAAGTTGATGATTGACTGAACTGTTTCATATCTCTCTCTATAGGTTTATTACATGTATTATGATTAGTCAATGACCCATAATGATCTTCCTCGTATTTCCATGCGGAAATATGTTTATTTTAGGTTAAAAGCTAGCTTGTTTGCACTAAGGCTAAGAGGTGAAATGGTTATCTGGGTGCATGCAAGTTTTTTTAAAGCACTCATGTTAAGTTTCCCACAGTGATAGATTTCCAGGCTTGAAAAGCTATGTAGTGAATACATATGTATTTTTCTTTATTAATGCTAAGCTCTAAAACATTTAATTGGTTATAAAATTACTTTTTGTGAGTGCATTCTCTTTAAAATGACTTTTAAAAATGCTGATTGAATAATCACAAACAACTTCCAGGGAAATTCATTGGTAAAATGGCGTGGAAATCCTTGATGGGGGTTTAGAGACTAGACCTGTTCAGGTACAGTTTTAAATACTTTTTGGTGTGACGAATGTTCAAGGATCTGGTTATTCTGGTTTGTTGCATGTGTGACATTTTTCAGCTGCTTGATGAATGTCGCTCCCTGTTCTGACATCAGCAAGGCCGTAAAACATCACGTGAGCACAGTCGGGTCAAGACACGACAGTAAAGCTAGAAATATTTTCACCAGTTTTCTCTCACCTTCTCACTGTCACTCACTACTTTTCTGTCTCCTCCTCTCACATACACACACAGTATAAATACACACCCTTCTTAATGATATCATTGTTTTACCAGATATCAGATCATTTTCATAGTAAAGTAGGTCATCTGAGATCTTTTATCTGCGGTGCTATGCAGTGACTGTGGTGAATTTAAGCCAAAAACCACATCAGAAACAGACACAAAAAGAACACGTGATCACGAGGCATGGGAGTATTTGTGTCTTTTTCGTATCATTCATTATTCATTTGAGGGATTCATTTATTTTTTTGCATCTCTCAAAGGTTGTTGTTTCTTTCAGATATATTTCTGCAGGCCTTCTGTAAAATGAGCAATAACAACTAACCCCACGACTCCTTATTAAAATGCAGTTCCTAATTAGTCGCCTGTGTATGTATGTGCATATTAGGGATGGGCATTTTTAAATCATTTTGTAGAATTCCAAAACATAAAAATTAGTAAAATAAGTATAGAATAATACAAATTATAGATTCTTAAAAACTAAATATATGAAACATGTAAAATATTATATTACATAAAGTATATACTTATTCATAAATATAAAAATAAATAACTACGTTATTTAATCAAATGAAAACATATGAGTAATTCTTGCTTTAAAGTGTTTTACTAATTGGAGACTTGTGAAGATGTTATTGTGTTTCCCAAGTTACATTAGGTTACTATTTTACAGAAAACCCATGTGATGTTGGGTAATAGGTTTTTATCTATAACAGTACGGTCACAGTTGACAACACCTTTTTGTTCCGACTGCAAGATCAATAAGGTCCGTGTTCGTTTTTGGTGACAGGTTTTAAGACAGATGCATCAATCATTTACAGAAATTCTGCTGTAGGCGTGTATGTGTGTCTTTAGATTTTATTATAATGTGTGTGTTTTCAGTCACCATGGACTATTTAAATCAATGTACAAAGAGTTTATAGGTTTGAAATTGTTATAGTTGTCAAACACTAATATCACTGAAGCACGTGGCACTCCGGTATGGAGTCGTCAACAACATAATGGGCCATTTAAGTGTCACAATTATTGTAACAAGAGCTAAATGTTTCACCTTGATGACTATAACCAGCGAGTGGCAAATGCTGTTTGCTATAGTTTCCTATTAGACAAGAGTTGTCTTCCACTTGAGGGTTCTTAAGTGACTTGTAAAGCAGAATCTTTGAGCTGCATTCAAATTTGTCTGATTATTTGTTTTTGTTTTTTGTCTTATTGGAGATAAAAAAAAAAAAATGCATTTGTATTTCTAGTGGCAATCTCTGGAGGGCTTAAAAACTAAAAAATGTGAAGCTTGAAATGCGATGTTAATGGTTTCATATGAAAATTTGTCTTTTATTTAAGCTGCAAAGTTTTGTAAATCATCTTTTTAGGGTTGGGACTGCTGTTTTAGGTGGATAAACCTGTTTACTGGTTTAAAAAGTACAGTGTTTACCAATTTTGCATAACAGGAGTTGAAAAATTATATACAGTATGACATTACACAGACAGGATTAATAAGCAATTGTATTATATTAGTCTCATTTTAATGCTAAAAGGTCAGTGTTATGGTCCAATATGTTAAATAGTATGTTAGTATTTTAAAGTACGTACATTTACACATGTTAGTATTTTAAAGTACGTACTTTGATGTTTATTCTGGCAGTGCTTTGTCCCACTTTGACTGCAAGTATTACTGTAAACATAATTTTCTGTGGTAATCTGTGGTCACAGATGTTGTTGTTTGGGCTTAATTTGTATTTAACCCTGAACCCTGTTGTTACAGTTTTCAGAGCCATTTCCATTCATTTAAATTCTATTAGGTTAAGATGCTTTGAGAACTTGCTGTTTTATGGGTAGTTTCTTCTTGTGTATAAACTCCCACCAGGTGAATGAGCTCTTCATGGGTCTCGCTCTCATTTCTCACTTCATTAAACTACTACAATATCCTGGTTAGAAGTCAAGACCCTTATGAGTTTCCTCTGTAGAGAGAGCTTCTCAGATATCACATTGAAGTGCAGTGTGGCCGCCCGGCCCTGATTCAGGTTTAATCAAACACATCACGCTTCAGCTGCTGCTGTGAGAGGGAATGATCGGAGGTCTGGAGTAATCAATGGTGTTTTAGAGTACAAAGCTCTCTATAGGAATCATGTAAAAGGAGAGGCGTTTTCTCACAGACTAACACTAGGTGTTGCACAACCACTCTGGACTGCTGTCTTATTCAGTAGGAAATATATCTTTAGACAGAATTTCTTGCTTAAAGCTGTTAAACATTTCTAGCAGTCAGGCCATTATGGTCTTTTTGCCACTTTGATGGGTAAGGCATTCATGGGATCAGGAAATGATGCCCACATAAGCACTGTGGCTGAGCATGCATGTTAACATTGCTACAACTACATAGTGTTTATAAATTTATTAATTCATATTTGTATGTATGTCTGTGTTTAGAAATTGTGCATGACTTAATAATGCATGTCATTAACATTCCAGAATTTTTATGAATTTAAATTAAAGGTGCACTAAGTGATTTTTGCCAAACAATGTTGATATTTGAAAGCACCAAAACAAACATGCCCATACCCCAACAGGACCTCGTGCTTATTTTGAAATCTCTGCCCCACACGTATGTACACAACCCTCGCATAACGACGATCGCGGAAACAAGTGAAGCTGACACAAGCATATTTAAACAAAAGCCAACACGGATAAGCTGTGTGAAACTAAACAAAATCAACGTTACTCCCCTATCAAGAAGAAACAACGCAACTTCGGCATCTGATTCCAGGCCTTCCCGCTCCTTGAGTTCTCTCCACCGCTGGAAAGCTGTGCTGATATTTACGTGGGTCCTACCTCTTGCCCTTCTTTTTAATGTTTTGTTTCTCTGATATTTTCCTCTCTTTTTTTATCTGCCATCTCTCTCTATCTATAATTGATCTGCTAATATCCGTCCTGTGCAATCAAATTGAGCGCTCTCCTCTTTATCATTACAAGACATGTCCCCTTACTGCTGATTGGCTACACTTGTGTTTTGGGACTCGGTCCGACGCTGTGGTCAAAAGCGTTTTTCAAAAGTCACTTTGTGCACCTTTAAGACAGCAAACAGGATGCAGAACTAATTCAAAAAGTTCACCCAAAAATGAAAAGTCACCCTTATTCAATTGATTTACTCACTCCAAAACTGTATGACTTACTTTCTCTTCTTGGGGCCGGTTGCATAAAAGGTTAATAAGACTAGTCTTAAAAGTTAGTCAGCTAATTTTTTTCTTTAATACTGGTCATATTTTTTTTTTATTCAGTTACATAAGAATGTAGATTAGTCTGAGTTTAATCCAAAAATAAGACTGATTACCCTTTGGCTAACTGCTAGTTGGTCAGACTAGTTCTTAAGTCACTGTCTTAACATAGAGGCTAAGTTTATGCAACTGGCCCCTGGAACTTAAAAGAAGATATTTTAAGAAATATCTTAGTGTTTTTGTCCATACAGTGGAAGTCAATGGTCATTAAAACTGTTTAGTTACCAAAATTCTTCAAACTATCTTCTTTTGTGTTCTGCGAAAGAAAGCTAGTCATACAGGTTTGGATCAAAATTACATTGAATAAATTATGAACATTTTATTTTAATTTAACTTTCCTTTAAAAGTGGTCGTCACCGATAGCCTCGTGGGCAGCGCGTCGACATGTATAGCGCCATTGCGCTTCGGGCGTCCCGTGTTCGAGTCCTGGCTCACGGACCTTTCCCGATCCCATGCCCCCTCTCTCTCCCACTTCGCTTCCTGTCTCACTACTAGCCTATCAATAAAAGGCAAAAATGCCAAAAATTAATCTTAAAAAAAAACTTTCCCTTAAAAGTGAGTCTAATTGTTTTTATTTTTTTTCCTCAACACTGGTGTTTAGATGTGATAACTTCTGACTTTAGGGCCTGTTTAAACGGGCTTTGAAAAGGTAATGACATTGTTTTACAGTAGTGATAAAAACACTTAAGAGATTTATGGCACATACCTATAGCCAGTTTCTCTATCTATATTTAACCTGTACAGGACACTGGGTCACATTTTATCTCACAGTATCAGATGTTCTTTTTGTTTTTGTCTTGACATTTATGTACCAACATTATGATAGTATTCATGTCTGCAGTTATGTCTTTATTCTCTGAAGGCACCTACTGAGTGATTAATGACCTTTCACCTCACATGTTCTGACAGATCTCGTTTAATCTCTAATGTCACCCTGGCGTCACCCTTCACCCAGAACAGCATACGTTGTTTACGTTCAGTGGATACTCTCCAAAATGGCGCCAGGGAGATGTGGAGGAGACAATTTGTTGAATAAAAGTTGTTATTTTAGTTTTTTAGTAACCATGTAAAGTAAGTAAAATAAAAAGTTAAATAAATGAGGGCTACCGTTGTCTGCTACTACTGTTAGTGGCCTTGGATTTTATTTGTTCAAAAGCCTCCTCAAGGTATTGATAATCTCAAGAGCAGATTCAGTTTCTTTTTCTCACAAATCACTTTCTTCTTGACAAATTGTGGTCTTGTGGTTAAATGAACCAGCCAGTATGTGTTCCTGACATGTTGAGCCATGGCACTCATGTAGCCAAAAGTCACCAAGAGGAGACTCTTGTAATTTTGATAAAAGTGTCAGCTTAATAATACATTTCTTTTTTATCTTTTTATAGGCAACTTAAGCATTCATGAAAAACTGGAGCGACTTGTGGCAGAGTTCTTGGGGGTGGAGTCTGCCATGGCGTTTGGAATGGGTTTCGCCACCAATTCCATGAACATTCCGGCACTAGTCGGAAAGGTGAGCATTTCAAATTTAATCATCAGCAGTGCCTCTTTATTTTAACGTCTGTCTTAAATCACTCAGTTTTATCTGTTGAAGTGAGCTCAGAAGTGTGGTATTAATCTATTATCTCTGGGCGCCTGCTATTAATTGCTACTATAAACAGTTTTTCACGCACCACAGAATAACCCAATGAACCAGCACACTAAACAAACCCTTGTTAAAAATAATGCTCAATCAGATAGGCAAACACAGTTAGAACTGACAGTACTTGTTTAGGGTGTCTCATTAGGGTTTGTTTATGCTGGGTCCAATGATGTCGTCGGTCATAATCAGCTCAGATTAGAAGACCTCAGGAACTGGTTGAGATCCAGAAGGCTAGAGGACTGTCTTGAGGTGCCAGAAAACTGCAACTGGTTGGATTGCGTTTAGGGGGGTGTTTTTCCTCAAGCAAAGTCTTAATGATGTCGCAGCCTCAAGAGAATTGGTTAAGCAGTGGGTCCAACAACTTGGGCCTTCTGGAGGAGGTGTCAGTTCAAGGCCTCTAAAGTTGAAGAGGAGATGACAGCAACCATTGTTGAATCAGGCAGTGTTCTGCAGCTATTGAGACTGTATCTTCCAGTTCACATCAGAAGATACATTAAGAAGAAACATTAAGAAGTCCAATTCTTTTTAACACAAAAAGCATGGCAACACCTAGTAACACCCAGTATGCGGGTTCTATTCCCAGGGAACACATTTAGTGATAAAATGCACTGTAAGATGCTTTGAGTAAAAGTGTCTTCCAAATGCATAAATGTAACTCAACTGATTAAAGTCATTACTCAGTAGTGTTCCCAGAAGTCTTTGTAAAGTATATGTCTTTTTTGTAGACTATATAAAAATAAGGATGGACTTAATTCTCTTTTCTCCTTAAATGGTTTTTCTAACTATTCTTTGTGTAAGTGGTCAAGGACCACCTCACTGGAGATCACTGTAAGAGGCAATGAAGTGGATCTGGGTTCCAGATAGATCACTTCCTATCTGGGACAGGATTGAACCTGGGGTTCAGATAATTAAACTAGAATTGGCAATTAAGATTTGATGACAGAAAATGAGGGAGAGAAGAAAAATAGATAAATGAACAAATAAACTAAGAAAACAAATTGAAAGTGATGTATGATATTAAATGCAAACTAGAATAAGATGAAGAGAATGCTTTATAATTTGTAGTTTTATTTAATTCTTTTATTTTTACTCTTTGTACTATAGTAGCACTTTTTTCAGGTTTTTTTTTTCTTTTTAAAGGGTGCTATATAAAAAACACTTGATTGTTTATGATTATTCATGATATTTCTGAATGAACCCTCACAACATTATTCCACACATTGTGTTATTGATGGATTCCTGCTTCATAATTTGTTCAGAGCCGTGCAGTAACAATGTCTGTTTCCAGGGCTGCCTGATTCTGAGTGATGAGCTAAATCACACGTCCCTCATTCTGGGAGCCAGGTTGTCTGGGGCAACCATTCGAGTCTTCAAGCACAACAGTGAGTACATATTCAAAATATTATGAAGTTTAAAGACATCAGGTCACGGTGTGTTCAGTTATCCACACAACTGCTCAAGGTTCAGCATTTGTAAATACTGAGGTCAATCGTCTTCAAATTTTGTGCTGGTTAGCAAACTAAATTTAAGCATTGGACTGCAGTGAGGCATATTTGGGTTTTCTAAAAGCTGTGTTCTAGGAAATCCATAGTGGTTAATGGTATTCTTGTGTAGCTACTGGAAAACTAGTGTGCATCTTTCTCCAGAGGATGGATGAGAATACATGATGCATGAACAACAAAAGCTTGAATGTACTCTGACAGCGCCGTGTAATAGTTGGTTGTGGGTCCTTACATCAAACCCGAAAGCCTCCAAATGCCACTGTCTGACCTGAAAATAGTCTTATAAGAAGTGACAGAGGAGTTTAGCAACCCTAGTCCATTGCGCTTGGCTGCGCTTGTTCAAATAAAAAATTATTGATTAGCTGGTTCAAGTTTGTTTAATTATGGTGCAAACTAATGCCATGTTCAGCTTCCTCAGAAAATTAAAAAGAATTCTGTGTGAAGTTGGACTTTCAACTTGGGAACTCGTGCAGAGATCCCCACTTCTGATTACGTAAAGATGCCGGTGCATGATGTAACGTTAGCGGATATGATGAGTTAATGATAACCATTTACTTTCAAGCAAATAAAATGCATCAATGAGTTAAAGTTCATAATTATATAATAAGCCAACCTGTTTAGCAAGCATTTGCAGAGACTGGTGGAAAATACAGTAAATGTTCTTCTCTGTTGATACCTGCACACCTACAGAATAAATGGTAGCATTGCATAAAGTTTATCATCTGCATTTTGGTTGTTAGAACATGTTTGTTGACAAATACCTACCACGCTACGGGTGCATTGCCATTTTAATTCTTTATCGGTCTTCGGAGGATTGCGAATCCCACATTGAAAAAGTTATCCAAAAGCAGAAGAGGATAATTTATCTCTGATTTTCTGAATGATCGCTCATTCAAAATGTGCTTTTTGAATGAGCGATCATTCAGAAAATCAGAGATAAATTATCTCTGATAACTTATCACCTAGGCCTAAATATTCCTGATGTCAACAACGTATTTAGGGCATTTGAACAAATGCCCTAAATGTGTTGTTGACATCAGGAATATTTAGGCCTTTGATTTCGCTTTTTTAGTTTATCAGTTACGTAAGGACTTGTTGGAAGACTTGTTTTTTCTCAGGGAAAAGATTGCAGCTGTAAATATGGTACACCGAATAAAAGAATGGATTTTTGTAGTTTCATTTGCACATCATTGTTTTGAATAATGATCATTGCTGTTTTGTATACGTCAATGAGACATATTTTGAAGCGAGTGGGTGGATTTTCCCTGCAAACAGAGTATGTTTTTGTATTGCAAACACAATTATTCTGGCTAAAGTCTCTATAACCAAGCTGCAAATACTGTCATTGTCATCTTGAATTAACTAGTGACAACATAACACACTTAAACATCAGCCAAACATAGTTTGGCAGTTTTGTATATGTCAATGAGACATATTTTGAAGCGAGTGGGTGGATTTTCCCTGCAAACAGAGTATGTTTTTGTATTACAAACACAATTATTCTGGCTAAAGTCTCTATAACCAAGCTGCAAATACTGTCATTGTCATCTTGAATTAACTAGTGACAACATAACACACTTAAACATCAGCCAAACATAGTTTGGCATTTATGTCCACATACAATCTACATGTCATTCTGTATTGTATAGTTGTTCTTGGCCTGAAACCTTTGGCGGATCTGTTTAGGTGAGTGTAGTATTTCAGGACTGCATGGATAGTGAAAGCAGGCCGCGTCCACGTTGGCCTTCACTGGCCTAAATACGTCCACCTGTTTGAAATGAGGCCACTTTAATGAGAGACTATATGGAACATTCTTTTCTTTGGGCTTTTTGTCACTTTTTATTCATAGAGACAGTAGAGAAGGCAGTAAGTTAATAGGGTAAAAGTGGAAGAATGGGATCAGATGCAACACAGGCCAGAATTAAACCTGTGTTGGCTTTCAAAATCTGTAATTTTGCAGTTAAACTCTGCCATCTGTTGGCCAGTTTGTAGTGTTGCCATGTCTGGTTGTTATAAGCGACTTCAGGTTATTTGCTTATAAATATTGGGGTCACGGGTGGGTTATTGGTTTGTGGGCTTATTTACAGAATACAGTCACACATTTGGACTTACACGATAAAATATGGCCTACCAATAATAGCATTGTTGAATATCCCAGTGTGCTGTTAGAGCTCAGTTTTACTTAGCATTACTATTAATATAATTTGTTTCCATTTTTTTTTTCAATGTTTCTGGCTTTTCCAGCCCTTCATCTAGGATACAATTAATGGAAATGCTTTTTTGCAGTAAGATGTAATTTAGCCTTGGTTACTGTTTGTTTTATGCTATAATAAATCAGATCACTGAATTCAAGCAGTTCTCCTTGATCCATAAAAACCCTCACCCTCCTAGAAGCACAAAAACTATTAATGCTTATTTTGGTTAGATACACTGTAGGTCACTTATTTTGGGTTTGTTTTACCAGACCATGTTCCTTCTTTTTCCTTCCTAGCAAGGTCTGGCAACACTGTCAGATTGTGTCTCAGCAATCTAAAACATTCAATTCAGGTCTTTCAATTCATGCAGCCTCTACTGAGCTAATGAGGTGTGTGCATTGCTGGGGCGTCTCTACAGAAGAAGGGTTGAGAAACACTGTTCTGTATATCCAAAAACTTGTTGGCCACATACAGAAGAAGCATCGAGAAACATGCTGGGTTGTTCATAATTTGTAAAGAAATTAGTGATGTAATATTACAGCCATATATATTCCTAAAAAATGCTTTAATTTAATCAAGTTTCCACTTGCGCTCATAACTGGCACAAGAAAATGTCTGAGTTAGGGTAAAATACCAACTAACAATTTATATTTATTTTAATACCTGATTGTGTCATAATGTGCCTGTTTTGTGTTTGGTTACAGACATGCAGAGTCTAGAAAAAATGCTAAAGGAGGCGATTTGCTCAGGTCAACCTCGCACCCATCGCACCTGGAAGAAGATCCTCATCATGGTGGAGGGCATTTACAGGTCAGTGTGTTTGTGAATATTTACAGTTCCATTAACTACAGCCTTAAGGTAAGAAGCTACATCAAATGAAAGAGGATCTAATTAAGCAAATTAATAAAAAATACATTTATAGAGAGGTTTTCCTACAAAAGTATAGCTCAAGATGCTTTACAAAGCAGCAGAATGTTAATTAAACAATACAAAATACATTTATTATCATTGTTGGAGAACAGCTAAAGCAATTGGATTTAATAACTGGTGGCACAAACAAAATTCTCTTTATTATCACAATTATCACTCTTGCTTGTTTGAGGTTTTCTGATGTGTGATATCACCCATTTGAACACTGCCTGTCTGATTGTTAGTTTATTGAGGCCAAAGTCTTCAGTCATGGTTGTGTGACCCTTTTCAGCCTCGTGAGCATCGATAACCCTTTTTCTGAGGTCATTTATTGCATAAATCTGTGCTCTGTGTGCTTTGAAGTGAACACTAAAGGTTCATGAACTTTATATGAAATTTATGCATGATTATAGAAGATTATGAATGATTCACTAACTTACAACCACTGTACCGGTAGCCACATAATACTATTTACAGTGCCTATTGCCGTCACTGAGACAGGTGATTTCTCAGGACACCTATTTCAGTGATATCTGCTAAGTAGTTGGAGACATTTTGTTTAACAAATCCCTTACAGCACCATTAATATTGAAAGACATTAAAAGTTGTTAAATTTAAAACATTTAAGTTTATGGATTACAAAGGTTAAAAAATATATTTTTAAAAATTACATTAAGGTTAAAAATATATAGATTTTTTAAAAATGTATGTTTATGTCTGTCTGGCTGTATATTTTAATATTCATATATATATGTTATACATTTTTATTCTTACACCCTAACTGAAATCTCTTAGTCTATTTCTTTCAGTATGGAAGGCTCTCTAGTCCGGTTGCCGGAGATCTTAGAGCTAAAGAAGAAGTACAAGGCTTATCTGTACCTCGACGAGGCCCACAGCATCGGGGCCGTGGGGCCCATAGGTCGGGGGGTTACAGAACATTTTGGGGTGGACCCCAATGAAGTGGACGTTCTAATGGGCACCTTCACTAAGAGCTTCGGGGCTGCTGGCGGGTACATAGCTGGGAAAAAGGTAGGCATTATGTAATACCTTACTGTCAGGCTTTTAACAAGACATTTCCTGAGGCAGAAAGCACAAGGTTTTACATAAATTCGGATCGTTGAGCTGCTGTTTGTCGTTTGGCGACGCTCGTGGTACAGAAATTACTTGCGTCACCTTTACTCAGCGTGCACACCATTCTCCCTTCCCTTCTCTTTCAAACTCGCACACATGGTCTTGTTTCATGATGTGAAACTACATATGTTCCCCAAATGTCACTCACGCTCCTGTCACACCGCCTCTCTCATCTAATTACTCCATTAAAAAAGACCACTTCACTTCATAACCACATCACGGACATGACAGTTGATTATAAAAGACTGAAAATTAAAAAGACTGCAGCTTCTTTGAATTACACATTCTATGGAGAACAGAGAGAGAGAGAGAGAACCCATACATGTGCTATGTAATATTGATAATTTAATAAGGTGAGACTGTTGGCCGATTGCCAACTCTATTTTATGGGACAAATCAGAATTGCAGGTTTTCACAGGATGCTTCCAAACATGGTACTTGTCTGTAATGTATACTACCATTTTAAAAATAAATAGATAATCATTACAATAATAAACAAAAAAAAAAACATTTGTAATACTATTTTTCTATCTGAATGTAGTGAAATGAGTGGTGCTGCTAGTCAGCAGACATTGCTAGTCATACTTGTCAGCTTGTCAAAGAAAACTTCTGTTCCTTTCCTGTAGGTTTACCATTTTTTATAAAGGTACTCGACAGCAGCAGAGTAAAACACATGCTCTCAGCAGCAATAAGGACACTGTACACAGGCGCAGTGGGAGGTTCACAAAGAGAGCCGCCAAACAGCTCCAGCCAGTCCCTTGCTCCACAGATGTGGGTGGATTTTCGGACACGTTCTCTTAACTGACTTATCTTATGCTGTTTCCACAAAGCTCCCAGGACCTAAAGCACTTCAAATCTTGCACTCTAAGTGGAAGCAGATGTTTGCTTTGCAGATTTTTCTCCTAAAAACCCCTTCGCCCCCATCCTCAAAGTAGAGGACACATCTGGATGCAGAGGCCCGTGTGCACTGCGAGGTGCGTCCCCTCCCCTCGCCCCTCCACAGTGGATGCAGATGTCTGAGGACAGAGATTAACAGCTGAATATTGGCCCCGGCTTCTGCTCAGAAGCCTTTTATAATGGATGCAGGACAGACACAATCTCCAAAACTGCTCGTTTGTAATGCACAAAGTGTCACCTTATCGAATGACAGCTGTAATAGTTTGTACAGAAAAGCCTGTATTAGTGTCCATATGTGTTTGTTTGCCTCATTGTCAGATCTGCTGTTAGTATAACCAGTTCAGGGACTCCAATACAAGCAGTTTGAAAAATTAACATCCTGTATTAGCCTGTATTGTAACAAACAAACAAACAAACAAACAAACAGATTTTACACAATGACTACAAATAGAGAAGCTATCATTATCACTGGATGATCAGTGTCTCAGGTGTGTGCTGTGTGGTTTCATCTCCCTCTAGTGGTGTAATTTGGACAGCACTGTGTTTCAGTTCAACTGCTCTTGCAAATAGTTCCCTATCGATACTTCATTCGTACTGCGTCTGCTAAGACGCTTTGGGGAAAACTCCTTTTTCTCCGAATACTGAAGCCTTTTTCAATCACGCAGTGTAACTGCACGGCCATTAGTTCGTGCAGTGTATTATTAAAAACAAACCAATGGCTCGGCAGCAGAGCTGCCAGCCAATTTGGGCGGGGCATCTGGCTATATAAGCGTGCACTTCGCCATAGGACCTCAGATTTCTTCTCCTTCAGCGATGACTTAAGTTCATCGCTGATTTACGAGACTCGAAGCCTCTCGCCGTAGAATCGCCTT